CGCGCCCCAGCTTTCCAATTAGAAAAAAATATGATGAAAACTTTACAGGGCGGGTGCGAGTGGAAGAGAAGGAAATAAGATTAAATATCGCAACCACGATCTCTTGACTTTTTACCAATCCTGCCAAGGGATGATATTCTTAAGACGTGTTCGGTGAATGGGAAGTAATTACAAACTATCTGACGGTGTATGCTTCCAAATTACTTATTAATGATATTTTTGAATTAAAAGAAAATAGCAAGCATCTCCCGTCATATTTTGGTAATTACTCCCGTTTATCGAATTTGCGAAGAACATTTCGAGAAAAGTGTTGTTTCTTCTAACATCAATGTAGCATCTAGGGACCAGGTTATCAAAAAGCCAATACAAATCCCAAAACCTCGGAATCATAAAATATTGAATTTTGGAATTAGGATTCGAATATTCCTTATATTAGAGTCATCAGAAATATGGTTAGCGGTAGAACCGATAAGCTATACCGGGACTCCGCGTGTGAGAGAAACACTCAAGTAGAAGCCCGAGAAACATAAAAATAATTAATTTTCCTCTTCAGGATACTGTACAAGATGACTCACAGTACAAAGGCTGAAGGCAATAAACGGTTCACGGGTCATAATGTAGTGTAGAGAGTAGCTGAAAGGTACGACTCTGAATTAAAATCAATAGAAGTAGAACTAACAATACTTAGCAAAATCCCCCTACGTTTAGACAATACCATATAAGATATCGATATCTTATTTATTTATAACATACTCCGAAGCATGCTATGATAATATCATAGCCTCCACCGCCAACTTTAACCCTGTGGTAAAATAGCGAGAAAAAAAAGGCAGGATGTGGTTTAAAACTGAAGCAATAAGGTATGGAAATACGCATATACTTTTTATCGGTTTTGTGACTCAACATTTGTTCGCTTGGCATTTCCAGTTTCACCCGTTTGTTGGTGTATACGCTTACGCGTCATGGACTTTTGAAGTTTCTCTTTGAAAGGAGAAGACTCGAACTCAAGTCATGGATAAAAAAGCTTTGCAATTTTATCAGCTTGAGGAAAGAGTTTATCTTAATCTTCCTGGTTTTTATGTAGGCATTTACGCTATTTCTTATTGATTCTCTAACTGATCAGGATTTCCAAAATCCGATGACGTAATGCACAAATGTCGTACTATATAGGCTCCGTTATCGGATCCTATACCCCAAGATTCTCTTGAACTCATGTTGTTAGTATTTCGTATGTAAGGCCGATCGTACGAGATAAGCTCACATTAGTGTGCTTGGCCCGTCTACATTATCAATTTTATAGGTGTCTGATTATTTGTCATGAACAAAGAGTACATAAGAACCTATATAGTAAGAATATAACTTACCAGTGTCCAAAGATCTCTATATTATGTTAACATAATAGCTGTTGTGTTGTATTGGGTGTGTGTATGTGTGTGTTGTGTATGCGTGTGTGTTTTATGTCAATACGTTTAGTCGATCAGGTCCATCTTGGCAAATCTGTGCTTGCCTGGGTCACAGCCGCAGTCATTCAAAAGCTGAATCATTTCCTCGATTTCTTTCTGAGTTTTGCCCCATGTACCCCATAAATTTTTCATTATCTTTTTCTGCAAGGGAAACTGCGGCGCTACATAAAGACTCTGGTCAAAGCCACAGTCGCCATCTGAATAACGCTGGGGAGGGCGAGGAGACGAAGGTGGTGGTCGCGGTGTACAACAGTCGTTACCACGTGGGATATATAGTGGCTGCACTGGCGAAGATCAACGCCTCTTTCAGATAATGACATCCCCATCTCACCGACTATAGCACAGGAGTTGAAGCGTCAAATACAGAGGTATCTTGGCAAGAACGATTCGAGAAGATAGAAAAGGCTATTACATTTCAACTAGACACAACATGCCCATTACAAGAAAGACAAATGCGAGCTTTATTCTAGATCATAAACCAGCAACGGCCGAAGACGCATCCCAAGGATGCCTACTGCAGTGGGTAGACGGGAAAGAACGTGGACACGCGAGAATGACAGAGCGCGACAACATACTCGACACAAACGCACAGACAGCACTAACAACAACGACATCGCCACAAACAATGGAATACCACGCCAATCAAAATTAACATTGAATTGAAAATTTGGAGTCGTAAATGTCAAATACTTCCTCAATTCTATGATACTTCCAAATGCAAAAGATCTATACTAAATCAATGATTGTTATCCAGTCTATCTTCTGTACCTATCGCCAAATATTCTACTGATCCATGGCCGGAGCGCTTTACTTGTCCCAAACAGTTGTTATGGGTTGCAGAAGCTCACTGATACCCGCGTATGGATTTGATAACTTTCCCCTGATTGCGGATTACATGCTCTCATTTTGTCCACAAACAAATCGAGCATCTTGCGTGTAATGTAAGATGGAAAAGGTGTATGTTCGTTCGTAGGTTCGATTAATTGGTCTTGGTATTTTGCAACCTAAGCAAACTATTTAAACCCCCACCCAAACAGAATCTCGACTTTAACGGGTCCAGCAGATGTGGTACATTTTTGTTTTTTGTTACTGTGAATAAAATGACTAAATTCACGGCTAAAAAGATTTCTACATGGTCAAAGAAAACCAAACTGGTGTGGTGAAATTCATGCGTGAGCTGGGATTCGCATGAAATCCCGTTGCGTACTACAGCGGATACTGACTTTTGTTTTTGGCACTAGTCTTTGCAGAGTTTGCCCTGGACTTTTCATACCCGCCTAAGTACTATCGAGCACCAAGAAGATAACAAGCGCGCCGAACGAGCAATATGTACCATTCTAGAATAGACAGCACCTGTGAATATCTAGTGCATCTCATGACTGAGACCGGAACGTGTATAGCATCACACTTGTCTACACTGCTACAATCATCCCCCGAATCTGGATTATCACTTTCTTCCCACATCTGGGTAGGATGTTTATAACGGACCATAGCGTCCTTCGCTGTAAATTTAAATGGGAGAGACATGCTACTCAATGATTCGGTCTTATATGTTTTGGTTCGTGGCAAGGTTGCGCTACACTCGGACGTACGCCGGTGAGTCTCATAGCAGCTACATGTAGACAGTAATCGTGTCCAGTCACTGCGTATACTGTTGTAGCATTGCCCACAGTCTCGAAGGATATTGACAATCATAAGCTCCTTATAAAGTGCTCTTACCAGTTACGGTAGCAAGATATGAACGGTATGTAATGCGTCAGTTTTGATACAAAGCAAACGGGATACTGTTTCACAGAATGTATGTGATAGTTTATCTTTAAAAAAAACATACTTGCGAGACTTGGTTAGTGGCTGTCAGCTATATGAATGCCAAACCTCTACTTCCTATATTATAAAGAACATATTTACGAGACTTGGTTAGTGACTGCCGACTATATGAAGGCCAAACTTCTACTCCTCGTTCTTCAGTAAGTCAGCTGCAGAGCTTGTCCACGTTACGTGTTCATTGCTGTTGTCGATGAGACATACATCGCTCAATCACATGTTGGTCGATATCGCTATGTTATAGTTCACTCTCTACTAAGCTCGGATAATTGACGCTCTGACGCAAAGCGGTAAACTCTCTTGCTCATTCGCAAATGTGTATGATTAGACAAATATGGTTTGATAAATTCTTGTTGGTCACCCAGATGCATAAGTGGAAAAGTAATATGGTTATTCTTTTTCTCGCTTATGTCTATATATATGAGAGAGAGTCGTACAGAAATATTGCATATTTAGTTGTGTATCAGTTACTACTTTGCAATTGTCGCGCCCTTGTATACTATGAAAGTCTTTTACAAACTTCTCTGTTTCCTGGTCATCCAGGTGCGTAAGAAAAAAAAGATGATAATATGGGTATTGTTTTTCTCGCGTATGGAGAGAGAGAGAGAGAGAGGAGAGAGAGAGAGAGAGAGAGAGAGAGAGAGAGAGAATAATATTGTAAAATACACGCCCTACCCCACCCCTTATAATCTAAGTAAGAAGCGAAGTGTATTCATAGGACAGAATGAATTTTATCGGCATATGCGCTGGCTCGCCTGTTTCGCGCTCTGGCGTGGTCTCATTATTATCCTTCTTTGCGATCGTAATTGACACAGTCGGGGTTATGTTCGGATCAATTGATCTGCGTATTGTAATAATTCAGCTTGAGAAATAACTTATTCGAACAATAGGAATTCTTGCATTGCGCTAACTATGCAAGACAAGCTTGCCTCTACCCTAGCCGTTTTATCGGGTACTTGATTGCTGAGATCATCAGAAGGGGAGGAGGATCAATATCCAAATCCAGCATCTCTAGCTAATGCTGGGTAAATAAGACGTAATCTTGCCTCGGTAATGCCAAACATTAAAACATTGTCTATGCAATCGAAGGAGTCGAGAAACTGTCTTTGTACAAGTTGCAGAGGTTTCTTTATTGCGCCATACTCCTTCAGTGTACAAAGCCACGAGTCGCAGTTGAGCACAGGTAATCGTTAGAACCAGCACTGCGAATTCGGCATCAAGTTTTACCAAAAAGTTTGTTGTCCAAGATTACGTTGCTTATTTACTAGACTTCAATTTAATATCCACGTGTTTCGTCGAGGCACATGTATAATATACTGAACATTAGCAGGAAGCGACGGAAAGCAGACTTAATCATTTTCGTCAATTTTCAATTCTGGAACATAATAGCGGTACAATACTACTATATATAAAGCTACAGCAAACTGTCTAACATGCACATAGGTTATAAAATACATCGGGAACGAACAAAGAAGTAATAACTTCCGCAAGTGTATTGGTGTACGTATCTGAAATATAAAATCTCAGATTTTTTTCTTCTTCAATATATTGCACCGACAAATTGATCAACTAATAGTCAAAAACGCAAAAATGTAAGCGTATCGTGATCTATCACTATGCGATGCGTTAGCAAGGACTCGTAAACCAAATGACATACGCCGCTAAAACCCTTCAATAATACGACCCGTGATTTATGTCTCAAACTAAACGTTCTTATATTCCTGGAGTGTATGTTAGCATTATAGAAATACATGCAACAGGATTGTATAGTCCGGTGTAGTAAGCCATGAATGCCACGGCTATCCCGGACGAAATGAACTGGTCCCTCATTTGGCGGTATTCTTGCCGTTGAGAACCTTTGGGGTCTGCATGGTCCAGGACGTGGATAATCGCCGTTTCGTCTTCTACGAGGACTTTGGTACACTCTGGCACGGGACAAACACAGTGTCGCGTGTCCTTGTGGTGCAACTCCCAGTGGGCATTCAGGGCATTGCTATGCGGGAGGTCCGTCTGAGGCGTGATAGGTGTTTAGGCATATTAGGAAGACACTATTGTCTCTGCATGATTGAACCGAGTAAGTCGCGTCACGAGTTTATTAAGTTGTTATATTGTGCGTGCGTCAAGTTGTCGGCATCGAATGTATATCGTATATGTCACGAAACATTTACCAAGACACAATCCTGTTTGAATTCGACTCACTGTGGACGAGTACCTTTCATGAGTATTCCAACTGAAAGTGAGTGTCAACATATAAGCGACTGTCAACATTATGCGTATATCTTATATGGGGGCCGAATGGTCGCGATAATGTGCTCGTCGCGATGACGAAATGAGTGTATGGTATATGTCGAAAGAGAGAGCATCTCAAACAAGATGATTCATATCTAGCAACGATGGATGTGAATGCGTACACTTCAGCCAAAACAGACATATATTCTATGTGGGAACTTACTCTACATATAGGGCACTGATAAGCAGCATCTCCGTGATGTGCGAGGAGATGGTGGATTTTGTACTCTTCTTCACTCCCAAAAGCTCGTCCACACTCGGGCCACGCACAAACATGCACAGCGGCATAGTCCGCGATATCTGATCCCGAGATTGTCACCCATGCCCTATTTGCCACCCAGCCCTTATTCTTTACCCATCCTCTTTGTAGTACATCAGTTACCCATCCCTTCTCCATCATTCTGTGCGAGGTTCTGTTCCAAGTGTCACTGGCGGTGTCAGTAATGGGCTATGTATATATGATATTTCGTAAAGGGTGCGCATGTCCACACGGTTGCATGCATATTTCGCATAAAGTGGCGCATGTTCTCGTACTCCGTCGACACAAATCGTCATTGAACAACGCTCTACTGCGTGAATTTTCGAACACTATGTGTGGCTATATCAATACATTGATATTAGATAAATTCATGTGCTTTCAAATGGCATACACAATTCAAATAGAAACGCTCGGTCCAAAGCTGTACTTGCGCAAAAGACAATCGTACTCGTGAAACGGTATATTTCTAAATGTTGATGTACTCGGAAGAAAAACAGCATAAAAATCAATTGAAAATCAATTCTACTAGAGTGATCTGCTACAAATGTGTGCAGACTAACCTCGGGCATAGGAACAACAGGTACATATACCGTTGATATTCAAGCTAAGCCAAAAAAGAAATAAATCATATGTTAGTACTCAAGTAGACTAGAAATTCACCAAGTCCAAATCCAAACTAACACGATACTGAAAGAGCCATTTGAGCCGTTCTAACTCTACGTCCGCAATACAAATTGCAGCTTGCAAAATCAATGTCAAGGAAGCAGAAAATTAGACCTTGGAAAACATTGACTAATACACGCTAATTGATCAGATCCGTATCATAGTAATAAAACCAATATATATATATATATATATATATATATATATAAATACCCTTACACCCTACCCGCCCACCCATATATAAATATATA